TTATCCCGGATTAAGAATCATTTATCCCGGATTAAGGGTCATTGACCCCGGATTAAGGGTCATTTATCCCGGATTAAGGCTTAATCCGGATTAAGGGTCATTGACCCCGGATTAAGGTTTAATCCGGATTAAGAGTCATTTATCCCGGATTAAGGCTTAATCCGGATTAAGGGTTATTGGCCCCGGATTAATGTCCATTGACACCGGATTAAGGTTTAATCCGGATTAAGAGTAATTTATCCCGGATTAAGGGTCATTGACCCCGAATCCGGATTAAGGGTTATTGAACCCTGATTAAGGCTTAATATGGATTAAGGGTCATTAACCCCGGATTAAGGTTTAATCCGGATTAAGAGTCATTTATCCCGGATTATGCTTAATGAGGGTGTATACACTTTAAAACTTTATTATTTCTTCCAAACTTAGTTCAAATTCGAAGATCGGGAATATCGGTCCACTCCTTCTGGAACCTCCACACAGGGGCTTTGTCTAAGGGTCATTGACCCCGGATTAAGGTTTAATCCGGATTAAGTTTCATTTATACCGGATTAAGGGTCATTTATCCCGGATTAAGGCTTAATCCGGATTAAGGGTCATTGGCCCCGGATTAATGTCCATTGACACCGGATTAAAGTTTAATCCGGATTAAGAGTCATTTATCCCGGATTAAGAATCATTTATCCCGGATTAAGGGTCATTGAACCCGGATTAAGGTTTAATCCGGATTAAGAGTCATTTATCCCGGATCAAGGGTCATTGACCCCGAATCCGGATTAAGGTCATTGAACCCTGATTAATGCTTAATATGGATTAAGGGTCATTGACCCCGGATTAAGAGTCATTTATCCCGGATTAAGGGTCATTTATCCCGGATTAAGGGTTATTGGCCCCGGATTAATGTCCATTGACACCGGATTAAGGTTTAATCCGGATTAAGAGTCATTTATCCCGGATTAAGGTTTAATCCGAATTAAGGTCATTTATCCCGGATTAAGAGTCATTTATCCCGGATTAATAAATGACTCATTAAGGGTCATTGAACCCTGATTAAGGCTTAATATGGATTAAGGGTCATTGACCCCGGATTAAGGTATGGATGGATTAAGGGCATTGGCCCCGGATTAAGGTTTAATCCGGATTAAGAGTCATTTATCCCGGATTAAGGCTTAATCCGGATTAAGGGTTATTGGCCCCGAATTAAGGCTTAATCCGGATTAAGGGTCATTTATCCCGGATTAAGGGGTATTGGTCCCGGATTAATGTCCATTGACATCGGATTAAGGTTTAATCCGGATTAAGAGTCATTTATCCCGGATTAAGAATCATTTATCCCGGATTAAGGGTCATTGACCCCGGATTAAGGGTCATTTATCCCGGATTAAGGCTTAATCCGGATTAATGTCCATTGACACCGGATTAAGAGTAATTTATCCCGGATTAAGGGTCATTGACCCCGAATCCGGATTAAGGGTTATTGAACCCTGATTAAGGCTTAATATGGATTAAGGGTCATTAACCCCGGATTAAGGTTTAATCCGGATTAAGAGTCATTTATCCCGGATTAAGGCTTAATCCGGATTAAGGGTTATTGGCCCCGGATTAATGTCCATTGACACCGGATTAAGGTTTAATCCGGATTAAGAGTCATTTATCCCGGATTAAGGGTCATTGACCCCGAATCCGGATTAAGTGTCATTGAACCCTGATTAAGGCTTAATATGGATTAAGGGTCATTAACTCCGGATTAAGGTTTAATCCGGATTAAGAGTCATTTACCCCGGATTAAGGGATTCATTATCCCAGATTAAGGTTTAATCCGGATTAAGAGTCATTTATCCCGGATTAAGGGTCATTTATCCCGGATTAAGGCTTAATCCGGATTAAGGGTCATTTATTCCGGATTAAGGGGTATTGGTCCCGGATTAATGTCTATTGACACCGGATTAAGGTTTAATCCGGATTAAGAGTCATTTATCCCGGATTAAGAATCAGTTATCCCGGATTAAGGTTCATTGACCCCGGATTAAGGCTTAATCCGGATTTAGGGTCATTGACCCTGGATTAAGGTTTAATCCGGATCAAGAGTCATTTATCCCGGATTAAGGCTTAATCCGGATTAAGGGTTATTGGCCCCGGATTAATGTTCATTGACACCGGATTAAGGTTTAATCCGGATTAAGAGTCATTTATCCCGGATTAAGGGTCATTGACCCCGGATTAATGTTTAATCCGGATTAAGGGTCATTGACCCCGACTTAAGCCTTAATCCGGATTAATGGTCATTGACCCCGGATTAAGGGTCACTGACCCCCGATTAAGGCATAATCCGAATTAACACCTAATCCGAATTTACGGCCATATTTAATTACACATTACTCATATGTATGGTTCAATTGCGAATCGGAACGGTTCGATGTGATTCTCAGCGAACATTGCTGGAGTGAAATGCATTTTTCCCACATCGTAATAAATTAAATCAAGAATGCCGTATAAAATCTTTATATATAAATGAGCTTAGTGATAAGTGAGTGAGTGAAGCTAGAAGGTTGAAATTATGATTGTAGGTTGTTGTTGGCGTGTAGGCGTGGGTTTTGGAAATATGGACTTTAAGGGTACGAAAAGTATAGTTTCGTCCAATTTTAGGTAAATAGTGGACCAAAGACCCAAATTTACGCCGATTGGTTTTATATAGGGACTATGCCCAAAAGCGGGCGGATATAGCCATTCTCGAACAAAGGACAACAGATGGATGAATCGACTAAATCATCATATGTAGGGTATAAACGGAAAATTGCGAGTAAAGCATATCCCCCCTACTATGGTGGAATACGGGTATATGGAGGTAACCCCAAAAACCGGAACAAATCAGTTATCTATTTTAATATAATCCAGTAAGGAAAGTAGTAAAGTCGGACGGGGCCGACTATATGATACCCTTCACTACTTTGGGTATATTCAATAGATGAATCCTAACAGACCTTCAGAAGTTTTTAATGGATAATTATACCCTCAGCCTTATGGCTAATAAGGGTGCATACACTTTAAAACGGCGAAAATGTGCCTCATCGAAATATTGGTTCTAGACCCCATGTTTCTTTGGACCAAACTTTGCCCATCTTATTATTTCTTCCAAACTTAGTTCAAATTCGAACAGGAGCTAGGTCTAAATGCAGATATAGTTCATTATCGAACCTTACGTTCTAATTTTTCATCTCGCTATCCTCCGCAGGTGAATGATTACAACAGAGTCTTGGAACCAAACTCGAAACGCGGAACAAATCAGATAACAATTTTAATATAAAAAATGGGTTATATAGGGACTACCCCAAAAATGGGGCGAATATTAATAATTTTGGGTAGGGCGATTTGTTGCCATATACGACTACAAAATACCGAATTGCAGCAAATTCGGTTAAAAAACGCGCTCAAGAACCCCAAAATACCGAAAATGGGGGGTATCCTTTTATGGGGGCTATCCGAAAAAATGGACCTATGTTTATAATGTTTAGTGGGGAGATTTGCTACCCAAAAAGAACTTAAAGTACCAAATTTCAGCGAATTCGGTTGAAAAACACGCTCAAGAACCTCAAAATACCGAAAATTGGGGGATACCCTTATATGGGAGCTGTGGCTAAACGTGGACCGATGTAGCCCATCTTCGAACTTGACCTGCCTGCAGACAAAAGACGACTCTATGCTAAATTTTGGGGCTCTATCTCAATTCGTTTAGACGCTAGAGTGATTACAACAGACAGACGGACATGCTTAAATCGTCTTAGAATTTTACGCTGATCAAGAATATATACTTTATAGGGTCGGAAATGATTATTTCGATGCGGAAAAACAAAGCTAATATACCCTCCATACTATGGTGGAGGGTATAGAAACGGAAAATGAGCTCAATTCGATGGGATCATCAATGGAAAAACGTTTAGTACTAAATTTATCACATTCAACTTGGTAATCGTTGAAATTCCAGACTTGTTTTTCCTAGTAGGAGTATGTTGTGCCAAAACTTCCAACAAGTATTGGAATGCTGGTTTGCTTACCCGGTAGTATTTTTTGAATCTGTTAGGAAATACATATCAGATTTTCAACTATTTTTAATTTTTATGCACTTACAATGATTGTGACAATTCAAGAGGATTGGAACTATCTCGCAATTGTCTTCTTGGCAATCTTGTAGAAGTTCTTTGTTGCTATCTGGAGGTAGCAACTATTCATGTTACTATTCATTTTTGGTTTCAATTCTTTATTTCTTTTTAATTATTTCGTACAACACAAACACTTTAAATTTGAGCAAACAAATAAGGGTACACACAAAGTATGAAAAAGACCCACAGTTAGGAATAGAATTTCCGTAGGAATAGAATTTCTCCTACATTTTGACGTTTGGGCTGTATAGTTTCGGATCTCAAACAAACTGGGAGTAGGCCTGACAAATACAATTAATTTTATAATATCATGTGAACGCACTATCCACTCTATCTTAAATATTGTAACTATCAGCTCTATCTGAAATATTGTCAGAATATTTATACAGTTTGAATAAATTTCGCCGAGATTATTGTTTTAGAATCTTAATGTAGGATACTGAATTTCATACCTAAATAATGTCATTTACAAGTCACAAAAACTGCTGATTACAAATAAACAAATATCATTTGTCTTGGCTCATCTTTGTATATCTTTATTTAATTAAACATGTTGAGCATTTTTTATTTATTTTTAGCAAAATAAAGTACAAGTATTGATTAACAATATCACAACTAAAATGGTTAAAGTGTATTTTATGTATGTATATAAAAAATGGTGCTATAAAACGGTAATTTATATTTATTATTACAGTATATTATTTTTAAGTTTTTGTTTTGCAAAATTGATTTTGTTTTTTTCTTATAAAGGAAGCATCTAAACATTTCTTATTTTTATATATAAAGGGGGAACTTTTTGTTGTATGTGGATTTTTGGAACTTATCACTTATGTAGGCATAGCTAAATTACAAATCTAATAAAGCACTAATCTCTTCTTTTAATTGTTGTGGCTTGAAGACACCACGTTCTGTTATTATGCCCGTAATTAATGATGCAGGCGTAACATCAAAGGCAGGATTCCAACAATTAATGCCAGGCGCTGCTATTCTATGTTCACCGACATGGGTCATTTCGCGATCTGGTCGCTCTTCAATTATGATATGATCGCCACTGGGTATTTGTAAATCTATTGATGTTAGGGGTGCGGCAACAAAGAATGGTACACCATGGTGTTTGGCAACAACGGCAATTTGATAGGTGCCGATTTTATTTGCTGTATCTCCATTGGCAGCAACCTGTAATATATTAAAAAGGGGTGCGTTTTATATTCCAGGCTTCTTCTTTATTAAGAGTCATTTTTTTACTTACACGATCAGCTCCCACCACAACAGCTGCCACATTTTTGGCACGCAACAATGCTGCCACCATACTATCCAGTACCAAAGTGGCTGGAAGTTTATCATGTACTAATTCATAGGCTGTTAAACGTGCACCTTGATTATAGGGTCGTGTTTCGGTACAGTAAACGTGTTCTGAAAACAAAACAATGGTTTAGCAATTATTATAATTATTTTTGTTCATTTCATCATTACCTAATTTTTTGAGTTCATGTAGCTTTCGTACAACACCAAGTGCTGTACCATAACCAGCTGTAGCCAATGATCCGGTATTACAATGTGTCAAGACTCGTACAGGGCCATCTTTACCGGCACTTTCTAACACAGCCTTAGCACCATTGCTTCCAATGGCTTTATTGTCTGATATATCTTTTTGCAGCATAGCCTCAGTTATATCAAGGAATCTACAATCTAGAATCTAGAAAGCCTATAATCTTATGTAAAAAATAAAAATGCGAACATACTTTTGTTTCATCTCTTCCACAGTAACGCTTTCATCCTTTGTCAGTTCATTTGCCAAAGAAATCAATTCGTCAGCTGCAATCTTCATATTGACCGCCGTAGGTCTTGCGGATACAAGATAATTGAGCTTTCCCTCAATTTCTTGCCGCAATGTTTTCTTAGATTCATATGTTTCGGGGAAAATTTCAACAGCGAGGGATAGACAGCCAACAATGGCGATGGCAGGAGCGCCACGAACCTGAAAGAAAAAAATAAATACAATACGTTAAACAAGTAATAAAGGACTTCAGTTCGGTTGGGTCCAACTTTTTACAGTGAATAATGTTACAAAGTCGGAATTTGTATCAAATAAGAAACCAAATATATTACATAGCTTCCGATGATAACACCCTAACAGGTGCTGCATCGACGAAACTTGATTGTGCCGATAAACGGGTCTGATCTTCGTCTCTTCGTGGAGATGATACACAATCGGTCTGTACTGGTTCTTGATAGTCTGGGTCTAAATTCAAGAAGGTTCCAATCCGTATGGTAGGGGTCCCTGAGAAATTCAAAGACAAGGCGTGTGTAATTATATCTTAGGTATTGTGGTATCAATTCATGCTAGTGGGAATTTGGATGGTCACCTTTGCTGCTATGGATGGTCTCACGATATTGTTGTACTGCCTGGCCGACTGCATCTGTATGAATGTTCTTTAGACCTGCCTGGCAGGCCTGTTGATCTAAAGGTTCACGTTTGTACGTTTGGACCTCTGTCTTGAGATCATAAAAGCATGTCTATAAGGATATGACAAAGTGTTTCCGACGATAACATCGACAAAACATGAATTTGTCGATAAACGGGACTGATCTTCCTCTCTTCGTGGAGATGATACACAGCTGCAGTTCTCAGAGCGGAAGGGAAATCTCTGGTCCTTGATAGTCTGGGTTATGAATGTTATTTAGACCTGCCTGGCAGGCCTGTCGATCTAAAGGTTCACGTTTGCACGTTTGGACCTCTGCCTCCAGACAGATAAAATAATACACAGGTATCATGGACCCTCTCAGAGCGGCATTCGTCTTTGCTACTGAAGACAGAAGGGAAATCGATCTGTAGGGTGAACACCCTACTTATTTTCAGGCTTCAGGGACAATGTGGGTCGCTAACGACAGGTTGGATACAGTTGTTAGATACACTACTACAGGTTCATCCAGTTGCGATGCGTTCCAGGGCTAATGCTTGGATGGCTTCATAAATTGTGGTGGTACCTCCTCGGCTCAAACCGCTAAAGCTCTGTTAACTTCAAGGTTAAGTTCATTCACTCTTGGGTCTTCAGGTTTTGTATGACGAAGCTCATAACGCCCATTAGCAGCTTCCATCGCATCTGCTGGGAAGTTTGGCTTTACTTCGCATATACGTGTTGATGCTTCAATGTTTCAAATCTTCAGGTGCTCTGGCGCAGCTTATCGGATCAGTCACCGTTATGACACTCAAAATTCTATCGTCCTCTCTTCTGGGATTCGAGAGTAACTTAACCGTTGCCCACAATGCACTTGTTGCGGCTTCAATTTTGCAAAACTCCAGGCGCTCTAGCCAATTTTTCCGCTTATGCTCTGTTAACATCAAAGGTAAGTTTATTCACTCTTGGGTCTTCAGGTGTTGTGCACCCATCCGCAGGTACCGTCGCATCTGCTGGAAAGTTTGGCCTCACTTCGGATATATATGGCGGGTAGTTACCGCAGTGATGATGTCTCGGATCTGAGGGAATGGGTAGCTCTCTGAAACGGCGATTGGTAAAATCTGTGAAACCTTGTCAGTCAGCGTTTTAATGGTTCAGGAAAGTTCGGCGTTCAAAAGTAATAAAACCGAGTGATCTATTTACAGAGACTTTGATGGTGAGGTGGTCTGAACCAAGACAAAAGACGGGTTGCGAAATTACATAATTTATCAGACCAATAGTGATGTCCAGCGAACTGTGGGAATATCCTCTAATTCTCGTGGGGGACATCCTCTTTCACTGGGCAAAACATGGAGCTATCAATTTGCTCAGCCAGCGATGTACGCTTCTGGTCATTATCTAGTACGGAATGATATAGCTCATGAGGGGCATTGAATTTGTCTTGTTCCGGGCTTTAGTCTGTTGATTTCAGAAGTAAGAGCTTCCAACTTAATTTCTTTCACTCAAATGACTTCAGATGTTGTATGACGCTACTCAGCTCGCTCATTCGCAAGTAATGTCACGTATCCTGAGAAGTCTCGCCTTACTTCGGATATACGACCAGCAGGTATATGGCGGATAGTGTCTCCGAGCTGAAGGAATGGGCAGCGTTGATTGGTAAAATGTCGGAAGCCTTGCCAATCAGTTTTATCATGGTTCAGGAAAGTTAGGGGTTCAAAGGTAAAAAATCGGGTGGCCTATTTACGGAGAAGATGAGATGGCCTGGACCACGAGTTGCCAGATTATATCACTTATCAGAATCAGTGCGACAATTGTGATGTCCGCGAACATTGGCAAACTCCTCTGATTCTCTTCAGGGTATATCCTCATCCGTGAAAAACATGTAGCTGTCAATTTGCTCTGGCAGCAATATACCCCTCTGGTAATTACCTAGGACGGAATGACATAGCTCATGATCAGTGTTGCCAATTTAGCACTTTTAGTGCTAGATTTAGCACTTTTCAAACTTGTTTAGCACCAAAAAAAAGTGATCTAGCACCTAGCACCTTTTTTAGCATTTTTATTTTTTCTGGTATTAGTTGAAATTTTGCGTATTATTTTCGATTTCAAATCAATGCATTAAAATGTCACTATGTTTCACGCTATGAGCTTGATTTTCCAATGTTAAAAAAGTGTCAGTATAACTGTAAACAATTAAAAAAATCTTCAAGTTCGGCCGGTCAGTATTTCAAATTGTTGGGTACTTCATATGGTTTATTTAGTAAAATGAAAAACCAGATTAAGAGGGCCTTTGCATGGGAGTGATGTAGAAATCATGAAACTAAATGGGGAAACTTTCTGGAAAGGAGTTTTTTATTCACTGTGAATTCGGAATGCCAGAGTACAGAAAATGGGTCGCGTTTCTCTTTATAATGAGGTTATGTCAAAAAATTGACCTACATCGAAAAATTTCGGCAAACATATTTTTAAATTACAGACAATTCGGCGGGGAAAGGTTCTAAACCATAAAAGTAGGCAAGAAGGATGAAACCTTTATATGGGGGATATGCCCAGACATATACCTAAGTAGAAAATTGTCCGCAAAAATATATCCTACCCTACAAGAACCCACAGAATGCGTCTAATATCTTCAAAGTAAAGAAGATAGAGCAGTACTTAATATGAGGGCTTTGTGCAAACCTCCACCTGGATAGTTATCTGCATATATGCATTCTCTAAAATCCCAAAAACTGGTATTAATTCCTTGTAGTGGGGAAATTTTACATACCATTAAAATAAGAAGTTTCAAATTATATTAAATTTGAGGTAAAAACGTACCCGACGTTCAAAAATTTTGGTCCTCTAGGGACTATCCCGAAACATAATGATAATTCAAAATATTAAATTACAGCCAATTCTACTAATTTCTCTCATACGATTTTTAGCACTTTTATTTGGCACTATTTAAATTTTTTTAGCACTTTCTGGCACTTTTATAAACGAAATCTAGCATTTTTTATCAACAAAGTTTTGGCAACACTGCTCATGATGGACATTGAAATTTTGTTGTTCCGGGCCTTAGGCTGTTGACGTGGCATAACTATACAAGGTAGTCTCATTTGGGAAATTGATAATGGCAACACTTCTTAAGATATAATTCATATATCAAATTCTAATAAAATGAAAAATAAATTCCATAAAATTTTACGCATGGCGATAGGTAAATTTTCAACAAATTAAAAAAAAATATTTTTTCTAAAGATCCACATTGTTCTCAAGATTTAACTACGAATGTTGCAATTTATATTTATAGATGTTATAGGCAGAAAACTTAAATATAGTAATAAATATTAATGATTCAAAAAATGTTGCCACTGGACACAAGATGTGCGTACATTTCGAAGGAAGATATTTTCGTATAAATTTTAAAAGCTGAATATTGTCAAAAGCAAATATATAAAAAAATTGGAAACTTATGACAGCATGAGACTACCTTGTATAGTTATGCCATGAGCTGTTGATTTCAGGAGTAAGATCTATCAGGAGTGAGAGCTTGGTTTTCAGGGGTCGTAGGGCAAAGCTCGTTGCATTCATTGGCCGTCGCTTTTGGTGGAAAGTGTGATCTTATTTCGGATAGCTGTCCAACGAAAGTGAACGCTTCTGCCGAAATTAGGAGGTGTGCAAAGATCTGAATTGTTAATTAATGTGTGATTTGTTGATTACCCACAGCTTTAAGAGTGTATACAGAGTAATGCGATCAAATATGTACCACAAAGTAATTCCGGGTTTCAATCCCATGTGCCATTGTAGAAAATCCGTTTCAAATAATCTTAAATTGAATACGAGGACAGTTCGGAATGTTCATAGCCTAGCACAAAAAGCGCGGTATAAACAGAAAAAAGTTAATTGTTTTGGAAACATCCATCTCTGTTATGAACACATGTTAAATTTTGTTTCGATCTGACAACTTCTTCATATAGAAGCAGGTGTTCAAAAAAGACGCATCGGCAATTTTTTACAATGGAAAAATTAATATAAAAAGTCGTCTAAAACGGCATTTACATTACAACTTTTTATCGGGTTAACCTACATTATGAGGGTTTATTTGACATATATACAATGGAATTGGCAATTATAACCCACTGGGTTAACGAAATCCGGTATAATGTAAACGTACTATAATCGAAAGTCAATTTACTTATCCCTATTTAGGAGTCAATTTACAAATGTCCGTTCGTTGTTCTGGTGGGAATTATAACTCACGAAAGAATAAATGGATATAAAATAAATGTAGGTACTATACAGGCCACAGTTATAATCCAAAATATACAACACTTTACAACATTTTATTTTCATCAGATAAATATGATTAATTTTTCTTAAAAAAAAAATAAAATAGTCTACAAGAGATAAGGTCCAAAATAATCAACAACAAAGATAAATCATAATGTTTGCAAATTAACTGTTTAACACACATTTCATCTTCTGATTCCACGAAAGTTCACAGTAGGAGAGAATATAAAATATGATATGCATGTGATTTTTGCTTGCAGAGAAAATGACAAAAAAAAATTACGACAAATGAGCGACGGCATACGGC